CCACATATGATAGTTTCAGTGGCATGCCTCAGATAGAGAGGGAGAATATTGGCATGATTGTATTGACCATTACTATAAAATTTGCATTTGAGCGTTTAGAAATGGGAAGTGAGTGAAACAAAGCCATTAATTTAGTTACATTAAGTAGATGTATGAACTGTTTACAAAATGAACACTCAATGTATAATGAAGCATTTATATGTACTTTTTAATACACTGGTGAAACTGTGGGGCATTCATTTTTCTAAACACTCCAAAGCTACTAAATGAGCCTAAAGGATGGCTTGTGTTTATCAAACTTATCAAAACCTTCGACATTTAAAAAATATTGTTTGTTCTTTATTGGATTTAATTTGACATGTAAAGGTACGTATTTTCTAAGGTAGGATTTTCCAGGGTGCTGTTTCATTTCCACCCAGTGACTCAATTCTTGTCAGACAGTTTCTCTTGAAACAAATGAAGAAATACACACATCATCTGGAAATGTAGCATGCTGTGTTTTAATTCACTAAAATGTGCCAGTTCTTTTTCTGTTTCTGTTGTTCACCTATTAGACAAGCAGAGCTCGAGAAGAATAAAAATCTGTCAGCTGGTACCAATTCATAATCAATAAAAAACTAAACTCTTAAGCAGAAAATGTATCACAGATTTGTGCCCTAGCAAAGCAGTTATTTTTACCTTGCCATCATCAGAAGCCGCATTCTGACAGAAATCATTTGCTTGAAGTAGTCACGATGTATAAGCCCTATGTGGTCTTGTGATTCAGATTTAGGAATATCAGCCTTAGCGGGTCTAAAGGCATTGTGCATTAGTGTGTATTGAGACCTCATTCCAGGTGGCAAGCAGCTGGACTTTTAAAAAATAAAACTTCCAAAATAAATGCAAAGTGCTTGTTTCCAGGTGATAAGTGTTATATTTAATTGAATCATCCTCAAAATGTGATAATTTAGGCAAAAAGGGAGTTGTGCATATTTAATATATTTGTTTTGTATTTCCACTAGTCAACTGAATAATGAAATTCCTTAACTACTTCTCTTTAACTTGCATGAAGAAAGCACGGTATGTTGCTAAATCTCTTTTCACTAGCTCTGTGGAGAAACAACTTTAATCCTTGTTAGAAAATTGCCGAGTCTGGGGCTGACAAAGAGCTCATGCTTGTTCTATTGTTTGTGCTCCCCGGCCCCAAGAGCAGAGCCCTTTACAGCTGCGTGGATCCCGCCCGGCTCAGCTGCACTATTTAGGAGAGGAGGTTTGTCAATTTCTATTGACAATGGAAAGAGTTTTTCAGGGCCTGTAGCAGTGCTGACACAGTTGGGGATCAATGCCAGTCATTCAGACTGCACCCTCTTTCATTGCTTTGGTTTGTTAATTCAAGACTAAAGGTCCACTGAGGGGGTTCAGGGTGTTTAAGAAAGCTGATGAACTGTTTAAGAAAGCTGATGAACTGCAAGCGTTTATAGCCCTGGTGTGGCAATTTCCATAGTCAGTGGCAACTCCTGTCACTGAGGGAGCTGTGTCCTTGTTGACCCTCTTGTTATTAAAAATGCACAAGTGCTGCGCTTCTCAATATTTCAACACTCTTTCATTGTCAATACCACCTTCTGAGCCCTTCAGCTTGTTGCTTGCTCTAAAGATCTTCTTAGATTGGGTTTGAAAACTTCACCTTAAACACTAGATTAGACTGATGTTCTGTTTTCCGTGCTCCTGTTGATTTGTTGAACCTTCCCAGGGCTGGAAAGCAAGTAGCAGCTTGATGGGGAGACGGGCTGCTAATATGATTTACCAGTCTACAGTCATGCACAATAAGTGTGAATAAATACAGGGGTCTCACAGAGTCAACCCTAGCCTTTCCTTTTCTTCTATTTTTGCTTTAAAAGAGATATCTCAAGAAAATGAAGTAATGCATGCCCTTACAGGAGTTGAATGAACCACAAAAAGAAGAAAAAAAACCATATTTTTGTTGCTAAAGTGGTAGGCTGCAGTCATGGATTGATGTAGAGAAAAAATTGTAAAATATACACTTACTGTTTTATTCCTGGGTAGACCAAAGCAAAGAATAAAGCAGTAATGCTCAACCCACGACTTTAGGGAGAGCTGCGATGCCCTTCCCTGTCATCCCCTGAAGGGTAAAGTGAATAGTCAACCAAATGGTTTTATAAAATTAACTTTTTCTGAGTGAAATGGCATTTCTAACATGCAAACTTTACTGGACATTCAACTTTTTCAATATTTATTTATTTAGCTTTTTGGGGGGTTGGTTTGGTTGAGTAGAGGGAAACGAGACTAAAGAAAACATGCCTTTGACTTTCTTCTCATATATGGAAAAACGGGAGTTAGCATATTCAGTACTCAAAAGGGTATTAATTTTAGCATAGATATAAGAAAATGCTAAGGGTTTCTGTTTGGTGGCTTTGTTGGAGCGGAGGGGGGCCACGCGCATGCACGTGTGTGCGTTGTGTGTGTGTGTGTCAAGTTTCATCATACACAAGAAAGAAGCAGTCATAGTGGGATTTTTGTTGTTGTTGTTGTCCATTCTTAGTAGCTGAATACACTCTGAGTTAAGCTACTGCTTTCCGTTTGCTTAATTTAGCCATAATTCCTCTTCAGAATGCTCTGAGTTAGGAACCAAAAAGATACATTTTTATCTGATAGGATAATTTTTTCTTAGAGATTTTTTTCTTAAAGAACAATTATTTGCCTTCAAAGTAAGATGATGGTAAAGTAGTTAAGCAAGGTACTTAACAGTCGTTCTTTTTCTCTGCTTTTATAGATAACTTTAAATCATATTATTCTCCAAATTCTTTTTCTCTAAAATTATAATTTTGGCATTGTTTTAAAGAAGTTATTGTATTAATGATTTCTGTGTTACATTATATATCTTTTCAATTATCACTTAATCATAAGTACCATTTATACTAATGGAAAAGTGAAGTTAAATTAATTTTAAATTATTTAGGGATTTTTTAAGAACATAAAGCTTCTTGTGGAGTAATCTTAAGAAACTGTTTTCATTTCCCTCAAATTTATACAACTAACCACGAACATAGTAACTGTACAGTCTAACAGATTAAATAGTATGTTCTGCTAAGCTTCATACAATGCATAATATTATTTTTCTCCCCCAACACAAAAGAAAAATTTACTATCTCATAATGGATGGAGTCACATCCATTGTAACAATATTTTCAAATTATCTGGAGAGTGGTTTGCTGAGGAAGATCTTCATTTAGTATACTTATATTCAATATCACCAATACGTGTGAGTGTTTATCTGTATTAAAATAGAACCCAAGAAGTTGAGGCTATAATTTCAAATAAGGAAGTATAGAATGTAAATCATGTCAGAAGTTAAAATGTGTATCTATAAAATACTTTGAGATTTAACATGTCAGCTAAAGTACTGAATTTACTAGTGGTTTATTGTTTAAGAATTTGGCCGTGTAAATATCTTAATTTATAAAACTTACTGCTGTTATTTTTGCATGTCCTGAAGATTAAGAAAGTCATCATTACAAAGGAGCAAAATTAAGTTATAAATAGCATATTTTTAAAAAATCATGATCTGTCCCACATTTTATGAACTTGAAAATTTTATTCATTCATTTGGTTGATAATATCTAATAAATCAGTTGTTCATTTAATAAGCCCATCTTATTTTATGCATGTTCGGTGTACTAACAAATTGTTAGAAATCAATATGATGAAATGTGAAACTCATTTTAATGTAATACTTTTTCTTATTCTAGTAAAGCACTAGAACAATGTTAATAAATACAAATCATGATGAATTTCAGACTTGGATCACTTAAGAGTTCTCTTAGCAGTTGAATTTACTTGTTTTATTATGTGGAGGGAAAAAATGGGCTGTGTTTTTTCTGTGTTTGAATACCTAAGAGTATATGCATACACATCTGTGATCTGATCTGGCACCATGCTTGAGTATACGAGCAAGACGCAAGCTCTCTTTTTCAAAAACTCTTTTGTCACTTATTAAGTGCTCAGTGGACGTTGAAATGTTCACTGTTATCTGAATGAGTGGCATTATTCTTTTAATGTTACCTAAACTTAACACTGGCACATAATCTCTGAATCCCTTAAAATGACACCTCTAATGGCAGATTGTTGGTTTTGAAAAGAGGCACAAAATTTCTTTTTTTCTTTTTTTTAACTATACTCACAGACATTATATAGGAGCAGGAAATTGCATTAGAGAAGAATTTCAGTGTTTTCAAGAGAGTTGTAATAAACAGAGAAAAATGAACCCTCCCACAACACTTGCAAAATGGAACAAATCCATTTCTTTCATAATTTGATCAACTGACATCTGTTTTGTGATTTTTTATAAGACATAAGAATTAATTCCATCTTGATAATAATGTCCCTTCCTAAGACCTCACTAAATCTTTATTTCAGGTGACTTTAAAACAGCTTGCTAAATACTTATCAGCCAAAAGAAGATAAAGGTGTGGTTGAGGATTACTGTTTAGTGAGTTGTAGGGTTTTTTGCCATCACTCCTTTAAAATGTTATTTTTTACTTTCTGGTATTGACTGCGTGCCTTATGGTGTAAGACATCATCTTTTTTCCCAACATGCAGGCCAATAGAAAATGTTCCTTTGAAAATAATTCAGCTCTTTTTTTTTTCCTGCTGCTTGGCCGTCTATTCAGTCCCATAACATGTATTTAGTACCCATTGTTACCTACAAATTACAAAGCAGGCCACTAGGCTGCAAAGTGCAAAGACACTGTTTCCATGAATATGTTACAGCTAAAAGACTGTAATGTTAATTCATGTAAAGAACAGCCTGGGTCAACTTAGCAGATTTTCTAGCAAAACATGCAATTCTGTTAACAGGAAATGATAGGCTTATTGACTTCAAGTGCTGATCTATGGTCATTTCAGAGTGTTTCATTACCCCCTCATTATCGAATCTGTTAAATGAATATCGCCAAGGTTTTCTTTTTTGTTCTCCTCCTCTCTGCCCCAACCCTTCTTTCCAGCAATGGTACAGCAGTTCCATGAAAGTCATTTGCGTATGGTTGACTGATAGACTAGATCTTCAGCTTCATATTTACCAACTGAAGACTCTCATCAAGATTGTGAAGGTAAACAAAATGTGTTTAGATATGAATTACCCACCAAGCTATAAAGGAATAATGGCAAGATTCTGACAAAGAAGAAAATTGTATTTGATATAAGTGGATGAATCTAAGCACTTAAAAAGCATCACTTAGCAATGATGTGCTGCTGTTTACTTTCATTTTTAATTAGATTACTAAATAAATTAAATGTATCTTTATTGTGCTAATAAATAACAGATATTTGCTAACATTAATCACATTTCGAGATTATGGACATAAAGCCCATACAAATTCACCTGAATGTAGTGGGTCCACAATAATTTTGCATTAATTTGCTCATGGAAAGAAGTATTTCTCCTAATACATTTACTTAGTAATACATATCTATTAGGACCATAAATTGTTGTGAGGGCTTTTGAATTGTGTTTGTTGAGAGAGTTAGGCAAGTTTCAGTTATCTTATTCTATCCTGGTACAAAAGTCATGCATTGTCATTGCCTGAATTCTTTTGGAAGCATGGTCCTTATGTGTAAAAGATCATTGAGTTTGAGTGTTGGGGACTGTCCAAAACTATTAGCATAGATGTCGTATAAGTTCAGCAAGGCCATTTTGACTTTTGCTCTCCAAGAGAAAAGATAATGACTTACATGTTATTTGATGTGTAAGGGCTTTAAGATAATAGACTTATTCAACATAAATATCTTTCACAATTTGTAAATTCTAGTAGAGGCACAAATTCTAGTAGAGGCACAAAAGGTTAAACTAGGGCAATTTGCCCCTAGTTTAACCTTTTCTTAAAATTCAGATAGAAATTCACCTGAGTGTAGTAGGTCCTAATGACTGAAAACATAACTCTAAGCTATTGAGAATCAACTGTTCCTTCAAATGGAAGACATTTACTTCCATTTTACTACCATTTATTAATGATACATATGTTTGTATGGGCCCATACATGTAATGTATATATGTGCACTCGTGTATGTATGTGTATATATGCATATATGCACAATATACATGATAGTTCTCAAAGTGTCTTTCCTGACCTAGCTTTATCAGCATCGCCTGGAAACTTGTCAGAACCACTCCACTCCAGAGCTACTGAATTAGAAACCCAGAGGGTGGAACCCAGCAATCTACAGGTTAATAAGTCATTCAGATTATTCTAACACATGCTACCATTTGCAAAAACAACCTCTGTGTTAAACCATTAAAAGAAATGTATAACTACATTAAAATATTTTTCATTATTCTTTTGGTTCCTGCAGTCTAATTGGAATGCAGATTCTTTCTGTTCCATAGACACACTTGTAATTTGTTAGAAAGGCCCATAAACAGGAAAGTTCTGTTCCAGAGTCAGAAACTGTCAAATCTATAGGAACATACAACCAGACCTACAATGTCACAGTAGCAGCGATCATGATTGGTCATAAATAACAAGTAAAATTATAGCCACCCACAAAATTTTAATACTGTAGTTGCACATTACATGTCACCGAAGAAAATGCCTTTGATCCAGAACACGTCTTACTTAGTTCAGCAAATAAACCTTGTTATTTATTTCGTAAAGAAACTGAAGGAACAATATGATATATTAATATCTGGCTTAGTTCTCCATGGTTTCTTTTTTGTTTCTATAAATGTGAGTTGAAAAGCTTTCAAATAAATTTGTTTTTCATAAAAGATAATCAGGATTATGTATTTACCTCTAAATATGAGGGTGGGACCCCCCCCAAAAATTTATTTATAAAAAATTGTATATTTATTCTGACATGCTTAAACTTCAGTCAACTTCAAAGTACTCTTCATTTGATGCCATACACCTATCAAGATGCTTTTTCCCATGCTCAAGACAGTTTTTGAACTCACCGATTTTGATGCCTTTTTAGTGCTTCTGCCATTTTTATTTCACCTCTTTCACATCAGCAAAACATTTCCTTTGAGGACTTTTCATCTGGTGAAACAAGCAAACAAAAAAAGTCACTGAGGGGAGAGCGGGTGAATAGGGAGAATGGGGCATGGGGATCATGCAGTTTTCGGTCAAAAGCTGCTGAACACTCGGGACAGTGTGGAGCAGGTGCATTGTCATGGTGGAAGAACCAGTCACCTGTTTGCCACAAGTTGGGATATTTCTTCCACATATTGTGACGCAATCTTCTCAGAACTTCCAGATAAAAACTTTGGTTGGGCCAGGTTTGGTAGCTCAGCCTGTAATCCCACGCTTTGGGAGGCCGAGGTGAGTGGATTGCCTGAGCCCGTGGGTTCGAGACCCGTCTGGGCAACTTGGCGAGACCTCATCTCTACAATAAATCAAAAAATTAGCCGGGCATGGTAGCGCGCGCCTGTAGTTCCAGCTACTTGGAAGGCTGAGGCGGAAGGATCGCCGGAGCCCAGCAGGTCGAGGCTGCGGTGGCCGGGAGTGTGCCATTGCACTCCAGTCTGGGCAACAGAGTGAGACTCCAACTCAAAAAAAAACAAAAAACAAAAAAAAAACTTTGCTTGACTTGATCTGGAGAAACAAATTTCAAGTGTACTACAAAGGGCTCACCCTCCAAAAGATAATTCCAGTCTTTATGGGACCGCCCCCATATGTGTATGTTATGATTGTATACTGTGATTAATATTAATATTAGCTGGTTATCCTTATGGTAAACCATATTTTAAGCTATTTGCCTACTGTGTTCAGGGTGTCAGAAATTACATATTCAACTGATTGGCATTAGTTGATAGATTATTAAGCTCTTTATTTTGTTTTAAGAATAAAAATCTCCATATTTTATAGCCCATTGTTTGTTTATTTCAAAGTTATTCCTTTTCTCATATTCATACATATTTACAGTTAAAGATCAAGCAACAGTGAAATTGAGCTATAATTGACAAAAGTTGGATACATTCAAGATATGCTATGTGACGTTAATTATGTATTGTATACTTAAAATTCACTAAGAGAGTAGATATTAACTATTCTCATCAATGACTATATTTGCATAAAAGAACAATTAATAATTTTATGAATTATATGGTAGACATTTCCATTCTACTGTAAGTCAATCATTTTATCTTATTTTTTAATATATCCATCATATGACCATCAATAGTCAAGCTTGATAAATATGAAATTAAATCCCATGGATGTTTGATTTTTCCATGTTTTCCTTTTCACAAACAAGTCTCCAAGCTCAGCCAATAGGTTATTGGGCTGATACTTTTAATCAAAGCATAGGACTCTATTTAATAATTTTAAATGATTATTTTCACAATGAAAAGGTGAATAAATAATATAATGTTCTCATTATTTGTTCTACCTTGAATATAAACAGACTTTAGCCAATTTCTTACATAGATTCATCATTTTTCTACACTTATATGATTTTGTTCATAACAATCATCTCCCAGTGAATTTAAGAAGCTATCAAATATTACATATATGGAATCATGGAGGCCCATAAGCAGGCTTTCCTTCCATCCAGACCATTAAACTCTGCCTGCATGGTACAGCAAAGCAGTGCAGTCTACTCAAACCCACACAACTCCTACTCGACTCCAATGGTCTACTTCTTACGCACAGGCATTGTCATTCCTCTATGCCTGTGGAGATGCAGATGCCATCAAAATTTATATAATAGCCAACTTTGCTCTCCAAAGATACTTATACACTATTTGGTTCATTCATGCTGCTGACTAAGAAACAAAATCCAGTAAAATTTATACAAAAATTAAGGACTGTGAAATTATCTGCAAAGTTTTAACATCTGAATGATTTATTTGGAAAGGGGGAAGGTTGGACCTTCAAATAATGCTTCAAAATGATTGTTGAAATTGTGTTCTCCCTAGTGTTCACATGGCATTTAAAAGCAGTTAATATTCATCAACTGTCTCTTTTGCTAGACGAAAAGAAGATAAGTGAGCAGCACTCTGTGGCAGGCACTTTTCTTAAATAAGAGCCAACCAAACCTTTGTGGCAGTCACAGAGAATGCCCAAGTACCAATAACACTTTATGAATTATAAAGAGAAGGAGAGAGGTAGTTATTGCTTGCTAATAGACCAAGAAAGTGGTCTTAATTGTATACAAATTAGAAAACCTTCAGGACTACAGACTCACAATTCAAATCTGTCCTAGCCAACTTATTGATAATTAAGCTAAGTCAAAGGAAAGTCATTTTAATAAAATAAGTAGAACTCACAAACTCAGTATATAATTGTCAGTGAGACAATAATACTTAATTACAGTATTATTTATTAATAATATCTATAGGTGAATATTTTGTGTTTGATATTTCTAACAAATAATAAGACAGTTGTAGGAATAAACATAAATGTCTATGATAATAATGACATATATATTAGTTACCCAATTATCTAGACAAAACGTACCTCTCAGTGTTATTTTATTGGTTCTGATGTAAATGACCATGAGTTTTGTTGTAAAAGAATACCACCTTAGCCATAATAACTCATGACTTAGAATAAGTTTATTACTACAGTCATAATATGCTTATTCAGTTTAGAAAGAGTATGTAAAGATAATGAATTGTATGTCTCTTAAACCATTAAAATGTAAGTGAAAAAAGGCTTGGTCATCTATAAAAAAAATCTTTGAATCTAAATTTTACTTGCTGTTGAAACACTGCAGCATCCTTTCAAGTTCAGTTTATTTTTAAACATGATAGAATTTACAAGTATGAACTTTATTTATATCAAGTGATTATCCAAATAAAAATGTATAATATTCATTCTTCATCCTTAATATTGACATTATCAGTTCTAAAACTTGAAATAGTATCATGGAGCAAATATCGGGGAAAGAAGACAGGAAGATAAAATATGAAAATACCATTGGTGCCACTACCTTGAAATGGTTGCTCTTCTTCCCAGAAGGAGACAAAGTGTGTATGTCAAGGACTTTGTATGCCCTGTATCGACACTTACCACTTCATGTGAATAAATACCTTCAGCTCAAATGTCTGAATATTATAATGTTTCTCAATGCTATGATAGTAGTGTATTATAAACATTTCTTTGTTCAGTGAAATCAAACATATATTAATGTCAATTTCCAGCTAGTTGAGTTATGATATTAGGTCATGAAGTACAATACTCTTTCTTCATATTTGACTTTTGCATCTATTAAGTGCAAGCAACAACAATAAAAGCAGCTACCAGTAATCATTTACAGCAGAGTAGTAGCATATTAATATGCACTGATGCTTTGGGCCAGCCCACTGAAGTATGACTACTTAATGGTCTAAATCTAACATAGGACAATACAAGAATTGTGAAAGCTATTTAACATTAAAAATGACCTTAGAGGCCAGGCACAGTGACTCACACCTGTAATCCCAGCACTTTGGGAGGCAGAGGGGAGAGAATTGCCTGAACCCAGGGATTCAAGACCAACCTGGGCAACTTGGCGAGACCTCACCTCTACAGTAAATCAAAAAATTAACCAGGCATGGTGAAACACGCCTGTAGTCCCAACTACTTGGAAGGCTGAGGCTGTAGGATCTCCTGAGCCCAGCAGGTCAAGGCTGCAATAGCTGTGAGTGTGCCACTGCACTCCAGCCTAGGGGACAGAGTAAGACGCTGACAAAAAAAAAAAAAAAAAAGACCTTAGAAGTGCTTCCACAGAATGGAATATATTCTTTTGTTCTGTTTCCCAATTTAACTAACTCTGGAATTTTTCTTCAACTTTAAAAATGAGTAACAGGAAAATACCAACCTTGCTCAGTTATGGAAAATCATATGTGAAGAAAATCACACTTTCAAAAGTGAGCACAAGGGAAACTGTATAGATTAATATTTTCAGTGCCACAGATGAGTTTTGTTGGGTTTTGTTGTTGTTGCTGTTTACAGAATAATTGTAGAAACAATAACATGGTATTTGTTCTATTATATTTAAATGCCCAAATTATAATTTTTTGTTTTACAAAAAAATGTAAATACTTGCTTTATTATCCTATCTCTGGAAGCCTTATTCCAGAATTTTGCACTTCACATCCCAAAAGAATTTCAAAAGGAAAGGTTAAAATTCACAGAGACATTTAGGTGTACACACATTTTTATCCAGAGGTACATGTAAATACATTTTACAGTTCACAAATGCTGAAAATGTAAACTCTCTTTACTGATAATAGGATTAATTATCTCTGTCCACACACCTGCCCAAAAAAACTAATGCATGTTATAAAATGAAATGTTTTTTTCAGTATCAAAGGAAAGATTTCTCAATTTTAAAAAAAAACTACGAATTTTTTCTTATTAAAAATGTATGTAAGTACACATTTTTGCTACAAGTTATTCAACTAGTAAATTCTGTGCAATTAGCAAAGTTTTGGGGGAAAGTGAATTTGTCATCTGATCATCTCAACATTTGATTTATTCATAGTAATTGTAGTTTGAATATCACTATCCAAAGTCTCTCATTTCCTTTTCTCCCCCAGAAATACACCAACACCATGATTGGCATGGACAGTCACATGAACTCATTAGTGGATTGTCCAAGATCATTTTTGAAATGCCAATTGAACATATATACATATATACGTATATATGCATATATACGTATATATGTAATATAATCAGTAAAATAAGTTTTCATTTTCAGCATTTGTGAATTATAAAATGTATTTACATATACCCCTGGATAAAAATTTGTGTACACCTAAATGTCTCTATGAATTGTAACCTTTCTTTCTGAAATTCTTTTGGGATGTGAAGTGCCAAATTACACACACACACACACACACACACACACACACACACACACACACTATGTACATACATATCATCTAAATTATGTAAGCAAATTCTCTCTTCTTCCCTAAGAAAACCTACAGGGACTTCCGATTGCAGGGTGTATTGGAAGGAACACTGAACAGTAAGACATACGATACTCTCCACAGACGTTTAACAGTAGAGGAGGCCACCGCATCTGTTTCAGAAGGAGGAGGACTTCAGGGCATTACTATGAAAGACAGTGATGAAGAAGAAGGCTGATAACATAGCTCTGGAGAAGGAAGCGGGACCGCGATTGACATTGTGAGGGTTTTTTTTTTGTTTTGGTTTTGGTTTTGTACCTTGTCTTTGTAATTATGTTTATTGTTTCAAATAAAAATGCTTGTATTTCTTTTTGATTTCTTTAAAAAGTAAACATGAAAATAGAGTTAAAGGGGAAAATGTCAAGTTTTTTGTTGTTTTGGTTTTTTTTTTTTTTTTTTTTTAGACGAAGATCATCCTCTTTTGTATTGCTTGGCATAAAAATGAACTTCAGTTCTGTTTGTGATTGGAACCTGACTTTAAAAAAAAAAAAGATTTGACCTTTCTTTGTAATCACATCAATATAATGTTCTGTATGTACAATGAGATACATGTTTCTCATAATACAACATTGTGAAAAGCCACTTCTGATCACTGCACCAACTCTATCGTACCCTTGTTTAAATGGTGTGTACATTACAGATTACAACTTATGTGCAAGACTTGTTTTGTACTTAATTTACCATTGCTGTGATGTGTGTTAAAACTTTAATCTTGGTTCTTACTACTCCAAATTGGACTGCAGGTGTATTCCTGGGCTGAAACGACTGCCAAACCCAAATATAGACTAGATTATCCAGTGGGTTTATGTCTTCTTGAACTTTTCTTCTTTCAAGTATAAGAAACCCCAAGGTGTGTGGTGGTAGCAAGTGTGCTCCCACCAATATACCATATTCTCCTATTCCTAGGTATAACAGCTTGCAGGCAATAAAAATCCATTTGGTCGTATCCACTTCTGTATTTATTAGACTTGTATAGAGTAAATACAGTAAAAGATGTTTGCAGTGTTTCAAACATCCCAACTACCTGGCTCTGTGTTTTTGTTTCTTGCTTTTTTGTCTTGTAACATTTTTTTCAACTAAATGAGTAAAAGATATTAACACAGTGCTTTGTACCTAGTAGGCACACACATCTATTAAAATAATTAATTACAATGGCAGCATATTTCTGTAGTAAAATAAATTATACTTCATACTCATATATTGCATATTATTAGTTAAGTTAGAACTTAATGTTAACTAACAATAATATCAACAATACAAATAATGTTAACCAGCAAAGTATTTTCTTGCTAGACTTTGACAGAAAATTGTACTATGTTTTGTAATTTCCCAGTGAATTACTTTTGCAATTTTTCCTAAAATTTACTGGTACATTCACAAGTAATTTTTAAATGAAATCAGTTAATGCAAAATAAGTGGAGGTATCCCTGAATTTATGAAAACTTTTGTTCCAGAACTTTAGAAGTGAAACAACTTGAACCCCCAAATTTGTTCTCTCATGGAGTTATAAATGGTCACTAGATTCCCAGGCTAGCTCACACACACAAAAAGATCTATATAATCCATCGTTATTATATAGTATTGTTTTGGCTCATTTTCTGCATCAAAAGGATAAGAAGATAAACATAAAAGAAAGAAATTTCTTCCTTTTTCTGAATTACAGACTCTACTGACTCTATTTTTGAAAGGCAGGTTGCCTTGGAATGCTCTTTCTCCCTTTCTTCTCCATCCTCGCAGCCAGTACCCACCCCTTCCTTCCAGCCCTTGAGTGTCCAGGTGTGCTACCCTAAACTCTGGCGTCCCCAATGGCTCACTCGCCAAGCTTGCCACTCCACCACAGAGGACTCTATGCTTGGAAATTACCTACCCTTCTTTTCCTTCTAGTGAAATGTCCATTTACTTGATACAGTTCACCTCTGCAAAACTGACCATTTTGTCCTGAATTGTGAATAACTGATGACCTCCTTAACCCTACTGAAAGACTGTCTTTTTAAAGGGAAAAAAAGTGTTGACTCAAAGAAACGATAACTGATAGAGCTTAGAAATAAAGAAGAAAGGCAGACGTTGCAAGGAAGAGTGGTGTGGAGAACATCTTGCTGCTGGTCTGGCCTGTTTAACCTGCTTACTGGTCAGCCTCTTTGAGCTTCTCTCCAGATTTTGCTGTTCTTTGCTTAGTCCCATCTACACCCAGAGCAAAACTGATTTCTAAAAGCCCTGTCTCTCCCCTCATCCCCAGTGGCTCCCACAGCAAGGACAACAGCAGTCAAAGGCAGGTGATGAAGCTCCTCACATCTTTATGACAACTAACTGGTCTCATCTTTGAGCCACAAAAAAGCTATGTAAATAAAAAAATGTATAAAGTAACCCTGAAAAAGAATGAAAAGTGGTTTGGGGGTTTTTGCCCAAAACCCACTGTAAAATTGCACTAACTGCAAATCACTAGAAACGACTTAATAAATTGTTCATTGGTGTGTATAACTCAGGATGAACACCTAAGCATCTGTCTATTAAAGGAAGTCAAGTTTTACGTGGTGTTATTCTTCTTAAAACGTTATTTGTAAAAAGACGGATTTAATGGAAAACCTAACAAGTCTTGCAGAAGCTTTGAAAAGAAAATCATATTTAACTCAAAAGAAATAGTTCTATACTTCTCATTGGTTTGAGGGAAGGGCAAAAAGGCATATTCAGTTTGGTAGTGTTACAGGAGAAAACTAATACCATCTAATTTCCAACCGGAGTGACTTTGTTAACACGTCTCGAAGGAAAGTGTCTCCAAACACTTGGAGAAATAATAATAATAATAATAATAATAATAATAATGCCTTTTCCGGAAAGGGAAAGAACCTTACAGAACCTAATGGAAATCTCCCGGCTCCAGCTGTGGGTCGTTCTGGTATTCACTGATTTTTCCACTTGAATTCCCTTTTGTCCTGGCTCATTGTCCCTCTGGTAAGAGAAGGGAGTTCCCGCTACTTTTGCAATCAACGCCAGCGCAAAGTT